TTGAGCAATTGTGCTATATAAATTAGCATTCTCTAGAACCTAACTTTGACCATAACCTTAGCCTTAACGAATTATAATTATTTGGCAGACAATATTGCCAAACTGTTTGTAAACAAGCCGATGTATAAATAGATTTATTACTTTTTACAATAATAATTTACTTTTAAGTTAACAATTTTAAAAATTTATTATGATAAATATTAAATAATGACAAATAAATAACATCAAAAAAGGAATGTAAAGCAATTCGAATATTGCTTATTTAAGATTGTAATTTAATTGAGATGAAAGAAGAAAAATTTATCAGCAATGAATATTAAAATCTACGAATAGCAGACGTTTACCAGTAAAGAAAATAATTGCTGATATCATTTCAATCCCAGGAGGAATTCCAGACATGTTATTAGAAACCATAGCAAGAATTATATGTGATCCTATTATATGAAGGCACAAAAAAGAAAAAAAACAGATAGTATTATAAGGGGTCCTAAATATATTGCCCATATCCAATTACCGACAACTCTTTCTAAGTCTATTAACTTGACCGTTATTACTATCAAACCAATCCAACCAGATACAGACAATAATAGCCCTAAGAAAGAACCAATATGTTCATATAGATAAACTATTATTCTTGGTCTATTCTCTTCAATATCTTCAAGCTCTATTTCTTCATACCAAGCATCATACAAAAATTTGAGACTCCATGGAGTAAGTTGTTCAAGTGCGATAAGTACAATCATCCATTCTTCATGGCAATGAATACACGTATAGATAATTGGCCCAACAGTCAAGGCTGTTACGATAATTGCCATTATTGGATTTTGAGCTTTATAGCTTTCACACCACAACCATGGTGAAAACAGTGGAATTCTTACTTTTGCTAAAGAAATACTACAAAGTGACAGTGTCCAACAAACTATTCCGAAAATTCCATATGGTAATCCATAACAAGATGCCTGCTGTGCAAGTTGATCAGAAAAATCTATTCAATAATAAAAAAATATTTTTTTATATTAATATTTTCCGCTTGTAATATATTCAAATTGTATGTTCGCATTTATGTAACAAGTATTTAATGTGAAATTAAATTTGGAAAAGTTTACATAATTCCGAAAACTATAATCTGTAAGTATTAAAATTGGATATTTTAAAATTATTTACCGTAAACTCTAACCTACAGTTTACAGCAGAGACCATTAATGTTACACGTATATTGAAACTAGTGAGGAATTATATTCATCACAATTGAGTCTAACATAAATAATTTAATTTGTTATTGATCACAGGAGAGAGGGATTCACTTTGGATCGAGCACTGTCTCTGCTGTACCTACAGTTCCTTCTATAGCTTATGTAAAAAAAATTGACTCTCAGACAATATCATTGATTTACACATCACTAATATGAATAAGTCGTTGTATGAGTCATCAATTTATGGTAGGTAAAAAAATTTTAATCTATCAGGATAGGGTTTAATAAATATAAGATTAGAACGAACAAACATCATGAATAAAATGTATTTCCTAGAATTTTTATTAATATCCATGGTAATATTAAGTACTATTTAACGTCTTGTGAAAACCACTAAATTATTAAAATGTTATATCTATCATTTTAACCTACAGTATTATAAAAATTCTATCAAAATACTATAACTTACTAGAAATGTTACTGGACATATTGCTGTTAATTTCACAAAGAAAATAAGTCCAGAGTTTTTTATAATTATACTCAACTTTATTCGTCGCAAGATAGGTATTTTATAAGTTACACGAGCTTTAATTACTTGTTCTTACTATTTTTATGCCGATAAAAGAGTTTTTTTTTCTTTTATTAAAATTCCAAAAATAGATGGTCATTAAAATTTAAACGCAACAAAGGATCTTTTTTGGACCAGATAAACCATCTAGATGTCATATTTTAAAATCAATTTTTAACATAATCATATGAAATCAATTCTAAAAGTAGTACTGTATCATTATAGTAATTCGATGGGTTTGTATTACTACATTGTCGTCGTATTTTTAGACCTTTTTAATCCACATTAAAAGATCAACGCTTCTACATGCATCTACCGCGTAAACTCTTAAAAAAATTTTAGCATAAAAATTTGAAGTTCTTATAATTGTATAATAATGAGTGACAAGTTATTTATAGTTTCTATATCCAAAAAACTGGCAAATCAATCAATATTGGTACTCTAAAAATATTCTTCAATTTAAAAAATAACTTCAATTCTAAGTAGCTTTCAACCTATCATCCGGATAATCATATAACCGATCAACGAACCGAAATAATTATCAGCCGGACCATATTTGTTATTGACCCAGTTTTTTATAATAATCGGCTATTAAATAGCGAGGTAAGCGTAAAAGGAAAAAAAGAAACGAAGAAAGAAAGAAGTCTTGTGAATGATAAATTATATGGAATACACCGCCTTTAATTAACCCACTCATTTCACCAAAGTTTATTTAGCTAACGTCACAGTCTAGGGCTGGCATTTGATGAATTGTCGTTTGTTGTGATGTTGGCTAAATATGTTGTCAGTTAAGATCCGAAAAAATAGTATTGAAGTATAAATAAGAACCAATAACCAACCAATCAAAACCAGCTTTATTATACTAAAATCAATATTGTGCGGTCTTATATATCGTTCGGACACCACATGACATTTTTCTTAATTTTTGGCAAAATATAAATATGATGTATAAAAAACAAGTAGTATACTTGTAAGAACCTCAATGTATCAAGAAAATTTTTTTGAATGCATATTCTATAAATTTTTAAATAAACCTTATAGATGTTTCTTTATTCATATAATATATAGTTTAGATCATAATAAAATCGATTAAATTGAAATGGGAGATTCTATCTGACCCTCTAAAACCCACTTACAAATAAGCCAAAAAATTTGTATTTTTCAGTGTCTTGTCTATTTTACATAGGGATATTAACCGGTTAATTTTATTATACAAACTAGCTGGTTAAGCCATGCATAAATTGTATTGTAAAATTCCAAAGTGGTCAGACTACTTAACATCCCTAAATTTACACAAACCCTTATTTCATATTAATCTACCATATTAAATGATTATAATTAACATTTTATCATTAAGATTTAAACTTTATAAAACCGAATAATGGATAGAGCGAATGAGACTCAACATTTCTAATTTCTACCAAACAGCAATCTTATTATTTGAAGATTTAAAGTGTTATTTCGCCAAGTGCATCTTCACCTCTTGATCTTGAAATAGTTATTAGGAGGATATTATAAAAATTGAGCTAGTGATAAATGCTAA